TACTGGGTCTGCTTGAAGCAACTTTCAAGTACAAGTCCCGTCTCCATCATCTGATACTGCAGCAGTGGTGCCATCCGGTAGGAGATATGTGCAAGCCTTCGCCAGCGGACTATTCATGGCCGATGCATCCTTGATTTTGCCGGTCAAACGACTGCTCCGACATATCTGCCTCAGCATCGTATAGTCGAGATCACCAAAGCACGCCTGTATGCGGCTCGCTTATTCGGCTTGCTGTTCCATTGTATTTGAGAACCGTCCGAGACGATTCATGGTGTGCGTCCAGATTGCATAGCAAGCAACTTCGTAGCTACCAGGTCTCAAATCTCATCTGATATTCACAAACTTCAACTCTGGCAGGCTCTACAGTGTTGAGCATGGAGATATGAGAGTACATTCCACCTTGCTTGCTGATGGATACAAAAACCATGCAAGTACGGTACTCTGCCCAGTGCCACCTAAGTAGACGCTGCTGGAGGTCCGAGACGGTAGCTGCCGAAGTGTGATGTTACGGCTCGGATGGGAGCCTAAGGTCCGAATATGGACGGAAAGTCACCTATCGGGTCATATGGCATGCTTCGCTTTGTAAAACTGAGCATCCGAGGGTTTTTCATATTATAAATGCAGACTGCGTGACCCATTGTCACGACCATGACGCAATCGTGACAGATTTACTTCCTGACCCACTGATGGTCGCCGTGAAAGGACATAGTGTCCTTTTTCCTGCCGTCCGGAAAAAGGACACCTGCTTTGCCCGCCGTGTTAACAGCATCCTTCCGCACGGGCCAATAGAGCGTATTTGCAAGGCCCAAAGTACGACTTTTGATCCAAAATTTGGAGCTGCTGATCCAGAGGATTTAGCCGAGGGTTGCCTACCTAAACCGGTAGCCCTTGCTCCACCCGTGCCGCGAAGTCGTCTGTAAAACTCATATTTCTCACTCACTCGACTTCATTCTTGTTCAACAAGCATCTACAGATACCTACGATACGCCTTGTACAACTTTGGCGGTAGTTAGACACGATTTAGAGGAAACCGAAAATCAGCCGTACTTTGCTGAGAGAGCGTGCCGCGCTGATCCGTGAGTCCTTCAGAAAAGTGGAGCGCCTCTCTCCGCAAACTTTTGGACCTTGCAAATACGCTCTAATGAATAATCCTACGCTGTCCATAGCGCGTGACGAGGAAATACGCGCTACCTGCTACCGACACTCAGATTTTGATCTTGTGGCGCTGACAAGGGATCATCGAAGAGCCCTGCAATTCTTTCGCTGGAAGGCCTGGGTCAGGGAGACTCTATCCCCCGAGATCGTATTCCCAGGAGATACTGTCGTCGGCGAGGCCTTGGGCTTCGCTCGACAGGAAGCGACTCTGACACCGTTTTACGGTATGGATGAGGTACCAGACGACATCAGGACCCCGGCATACTGGTATATATGTTTGATCCTAGTGCGGACATAAACGGCCAATTTTGAGGCCCTATGTCGGATATTTAGGCGGACATAAAGCCCAAAATTTCGGTCCATGTCCGGTATATCACGGCGGACACAAGGGCCTTGCCGGTCTTGGTGTCCGATCACCTGGCGGACATACGGAGTCGTCGAAGTGTCACACCCAGTAGTCCTTGTACTAGGTTGAGTGGTGTCTCTTATGCTTCTCAGTCAACTGTCAGCTCGTCTCGTGTATATCCAGGTATATCCTCAGCAACGGTGAATGAAATGCAAGCTTTGGAAACAGTGGTGGATCCTAGGAAGACTGAAATACAATATCCCGGAGTAATCATGTCACGATCTACTCGTTGCAGCGTTGGGCGTGTGCCGGTTTCGAGGTTGGATCCGTTTGGCGGACACACCGGGGGACGCCCGAGCATAGGTCACTTATGCGGACATAAGCAGCCCAATTTGGGCTGACCGGATCCTAG